GTTATGTGCATGACATTGAAGGTTAGCTACGTGTATGAGTGAACCTACCTATTTTTTACTTTCGTTTTGTCAGTAGATCGAGACATCTTGGTCGATGCAAAAAAATAAGTATCCGTCAACTGATCGTGCTTCAGACGTTTGTGATATTTATATAATCCCATGATACAATGGTACACGTGCATTTCATATATAAAAAAAAGACTCGTTTTTTTCCAGTAAAAGCAAGCACAGACGGGTGTTTTCTACAATGTAAATGTTTTCCCTCCATGAGGAAAAACATCGATGCCTACCGTTTAAAAGTGAGGAAACAGTTTTCGTTTACATACGTTGATTTTTGTTTTCCTTTTTGTCTTGGTGATCGACACCATTGCATGTTGTTGTTTTGGTGTATATGTAACAATTCTATCCTGGCCAATGGCAATGGGGAAGCTATTAATACTGAACTCATATCTATGCTGTTGAAAATATACTAGGCCTTATGCGTATGAATGCATAGAAAATACTCTTAATTTGATAAACAATTCAGACAGTGTAGTTACTATTGAATATAATTCCATTTTATGACATTTAAGTTGCATAACAATTTACATTCACAATAATTATTATCAAATAAATATACTCATTTATTTCCATGACTAAATAGGAGAATTGGTCAAATGTGCTTTGTTTCTTTGATGTGTGAATTAAATAAAGCAATATGAAACAGAAATGATGTTTAGATTTTTATTTACAGCACAATACATTTTCCCATATAGCAGGGGTGTTCATTTGAAAGCAACCTATATTTCCTGTTTGAAAACAAAATTTCATTACATCTGCACAATTTATTTTGTGCATACAATCATTGAACTTCAAAATCTTGATCCACTACTTTTAAATCCACATACCATTACGGTAAATTCATCTGAAAAGACACCATATAGGTGCATGCCAATAAACTTACTGAAAATCATATGAATCAGTTTCTTGTAGTACCTTCAGATGCAAGTTATGAATTTTTGCAACAGAACAGGAATTTTTTTTTTTTAATTTGAAAGATTAAATTTTAGTCACTGAATTATTGAAGTATTTTGTTTTTAATGTCACATTTTGCAAATAATGTTGTCAACACACTATGACTCCAATAATTTTGCTGACCACAACAAAGTTCAGATTAAGTGCAGATAAACCTGTGTTTTTGTTTTAAGATATTTTGTTACATGTATATAAGGTTAGTAATTACCTTGGATAAAATTATATCCGTGACAAAGTTTGTGATACATCAACTAAAGGAATGATCAAATTATCTTTTATCAGAAACACAATTTTTCCTGCATTGTTCCTGATCATCTTGAGTTTGAAGATTGTATTGTTTTTCGGATTATAAAATATCTTATTCCGGACTATGTACTATGGTATTCCGCTACGTATATCATATAGTTTTGCTCCGGGCTACCGTCGGCACCTTTTGCCAAAAAAAATGTTTGTTTTTAAAAATCTGGAAAAAAAAAGGTTTCCATCATTTATCTTCAGACACCGGAGTAACGGGATATGCAGAATCCACATATAGATGTGGATGATCGGGGGGATCAGACTAGTACATTTCTGTACAATGTCCTCCATACTAAAAATTAGAAATAAAACGAAGGCTGTATCGGCTACGAGGCTAAGGAACTTTGTCACAGTACGGTATGAGCTGGTGTGGATTTGGTTACCCACGGTTGTACAGCCACAACAATGTACCATTACGTACGCAGTAGGTTGACTCCATTCTTGCCTGTTATAGGCCTAGCCCAAGTTGTTCCGGAACAATCACCGTACTCTAAGTCTAAACCGGAAGAGAAGATTTCAAATATCAATATCACTATAAGTGACGTCACGAAGCAGTCGCTCCCAGCTGATCCATTATCAAGAGAAATCTGAAATATACTTTAAGCTCTATCAGCAATATCTATCTCTATGATACACTAATATTGTATTTTTATTCACGTAGTGGCAGAAAAAAAGATCTTATCATCCGTGTAATATTTATTTACATTTGCATGGCATTGTCACTATATATATATAGCCTCTTTGAAAGCTGTGTCGTTGATGGGACTTTGATTACCATGCAGCACGTACGAGACACAATTCTTAGAGTATTAATACAACACTGACCGGAACTACAATATCCAATGTAAATAAACATGACGGCTGCTGAACTATCGCTGGGCATTGTGAGACTTGACAATGTCATTGCAAATTTATGTGCAAAATAAAAAATAAAAAATACTTTTATTACAACAAAAACAAGATCAAGGTCTGCAATATCGTACAAAATGCACATCGGTTGAAATCACCAATGCCGACAATGGAAACAATTTTAACACTCATGCAATATATCAGAAATATCGTCTGTTACACTGCACTGATCAACAGGGGTTCGTTACACACATATTCTATAGACCTACTGACACATACATGTATGTTACAGACCTACTGATATGAGTCACAGCATTCATAAATGTGCTCCGTCGCAAGTTCAATCACTTCAAACGATATCAGTTTCACGCGTCTCGCAGCCACGGTTTCCTCAGTTTCTGACGACATGTTAAATAACGAGGCTGTTATAGAATCTACCGACTGTAGTCAGATTCCCATACAATCAACAAATAAATTCACGTCTGGATTCTTCACAAAATGAGCAAAGAGAATTAACTTCCAAAAATAACTCCCTTGTGGAGGGCAGGGTCGGATTTACGGTGTTCATTGTATTTATCCATGCGCGAAATTTGTTCCAGGGAAAAATCGAAACAATTTCAGATCTAACTTTCAGCTCAGGGTTCTATTATGTAATCATCCCATTCTATAGACATATCATACGCAATTGCATTGAAACTGAATTGTGGAATAAAATTGAAGTGTTTGTTAAAATTTCAAAGTACTGCTTTGTTTGCTAATCATCACGCGACAACACGCTGTTCCAACTATTGAACGAATTTGTGTGGACTGTTGATAAGGCGGGATATTTAAATTTCAAATATAAATTGTAAGTTAAAAAAGAACATATGAGGCAGAGTAAACGTAAATATAAGTATTGAACTGTTATTGTATGGTATTTATGATATATTTGAATGACACAGCTTTGCAAACAAACAACATAATGCGCGCTAGTTCAATGCTTAATTGAAAGTATGTTTCTTTGAAGAAGAGATAGTCAAACTTGAGTAGAATATATAAATAGCACGCATACAATGTATATAACTATATACATCAATGTACATGCATCTCCCCAAATAGCCATTATTTTGTAAATCAAGTCAAACTATACAATCCTTGTTATATACATGAACACCACATGTACAACTCTTGGAAGGCATATGCACGTCATCGAAATGTGGCATATCTCCTTAATATCACAGTTATCTAGAAAAGTATAGTTTGAGATGGACGTTGAGGATGTGCGACATGTATGTGACAAAACACCAATTATAAAACACACAGTTCATGTCTTTAACAACCACGGCATGCAAAGGTGGGCCGAACTAATATCCGACGGACTGGGTGTTCCGGATAAACGATGACGTGGCCGGGTCAACGGTTAGTTCTCTCTCTCGTACTGTCTAAGGTCCCCTACACACTCAGGAATTTGCGTTAGTTATCGCCGGTTGTATTTTTATTTTGTGTATGTCTTTACCTCTTAACATTCAAACATACCTGCATTTCTAACCGGTGCACGCTCATTTTGGAACTTTATTATGCTTTCCTGTTGTTGAACGTAATTGTGCATCATTATATATATATATATACAGGTATCTTTATGAAACAGATCTGTGCGTTGCTGACCTACTCTTTTATAACATTATAATAGCAGTAGACTTGAGTTGTCTTGTCTATTGGTGAGAATATCATCTGTTTGACAAATAAACACTTTAATTAACACCTGGTATTAAACAGACATTTAAAAGAAAAATAATAAAAGACATACGCGTTTTTATTGTACGTCAATTGTCTACGAATGTGTAGTATACATTTCACGATCCTCGTCTCTCGATAAATGTAAATTCCTCTACCGAATTTGAACGATCTTTCATTGGTTTACTATTGTTAATCACGTACAACCTTTACATTTTAAACGATTTATCAAATAAGAAATCTCCAATATATGTCTTCAATAGACAGGCCAATACACAGGTATAGTCTTACGTGAATAGTTATAACGATTGCCATCTCCTGATCAGTTCAATAGGGAGGTCGTGCCCCGTGATGGGGTAGCGATGTGTATAGGGCCAGTGGGTAAGGTCACGGGGACGTGTGTCGGTATATAGACGGTACGTAGGTAGTGGGAATCACCCCACTAATTGGCGTGCATGTCTCGCCGTATCGAATAACAGCGCTGCTGATATGTTTATTGGTTACCAATAGTAGTAGATTTAAGTCAGATAGCGGTTCAGGGTCCGTCCTTGGATACATTCGTGTCAAAACCTCAGGAGTAAAAAAACACCCAGCTATTGAATTGTGTTTATATGATATCATACATAATATATATATATATATATACGTCACTGCCGTATGCAGTATAAATTACAAATAACTGTAGCTATTTGTATTTACAAATGTTTTATATTGATTTTAAGCTTGCACTCAGCGTTAAGTGTTAAATTGATCCCCTAGTTTACCTGTCATCATCAAATGGGTCTGTATGAATCACTTTGTGGACCCATGTAATAGTTATATGCAGAAACATTTCAAAATTAATCAAATTGAATAAAAAATATGTTTTTCGTTATCTTATCAATTATCATGCCGATTTTCCGCAAAAATCCCGAGACCGTTGTAGTAAATATGCTTAACGAATAAAATGTCTGATAACGTCACGCGGGACACCCGTACTCTATCGCATAATTCCACACATTAACTCGTTAAGTATGGAATTAATCCTTTGGTGTGATTGCGAAAGATAATACGTCCAGATCATAATATTTCAGGTGTATGATTAGCAGTGTACCTGTACAGGTATCGAACCCTGCAAGCACTCACATGATTCAGAGCTTCTCTCGCCAACACAAAGCTTGGTTGCGATGGTGCTAAACCTGTGTTGTTCATTCACTAACGGTCCCAGGTAAAAAAGGCAGGTGGGTAATACAAGGGTAGCAGTAACACGGACCCGCACTAAGTCCCGTATAAGGTCTTTTGAGCCAGATAGAAAGTTGAGTGAGACGTCGGAAAGGTTACAGTACCTATTACATCTACCATAATGTGTGGTCAAGCTGGGAGTAAGATCGCCAACATGAATGAGGTGGTAGGGGACGTGGACGAACTGTACGCCATGTTACAAAAAGGAAACACTAAATCCCTACTTAAGAAGCATCTTACACAGGAAAGATTTGATCTGCTGAAGGACAAGAAGACGTCGATAGGAGGCACACTAGCACAATGTATAAATTCAGGTAAGTAACCAGAGAACGTATTCTCATTCACAATATTTATCTCCTGCACAATGTAAGTGTGATCATTATTCTTTATTATCTTATTGTGTGCCGGATAAAAAGATGGCACTGATGAGACGATACTGTTAATTAATCAGGTCACGTATTGTCACATGTTATAAGAATCGAACATATCTCTATTTTTTTTTATATTTATAGCATCATATTTTTTTTTATCATAACGTAAGGTGATTGCAGTACATGAATTGCAATTTCATTTACAGGTATACAGGATTACGACTAATTCCTCTTTTATTGAGTTAGGGATTTATTATGGTGTATTATTTAAGTTCTGCCCTATTCATTCCCGTTAACACGTAATATGTTAATCGTAGTCGGATTATGGGTTGTGGGTGTAGTCGGACGGTTATAGCGAGTGTCCTGCTGAGGTAAGGTTGGGCCTACATACTGCAATACTAAGGGCTTGTTTATTAGGTCCATGTGATCGGGTTGAATTGTAGCTTAATAAAGAAGTTTAAGTCTTTTTTCGAACATCATGGTCAAAGAAACATGCAACGATTTTTCTGACGTCAAAAAACAACCGAATAAGTTGTTCCTTTCTGCACTTTGTTACAACCCATGGTGCTGGTATATATATATACCTCTGGGTAGACTTAAACAATCATTATTACAAAGTTGTTAAATGGCACGAGTAGAAGTCCTGCTAGCACAACTTACAATGTAAAAACTTCCGGTCTGAAAGTAGAAGTCCTGCTAGCACAACTAACAATGTAAAAACTTCCGGTCTGTAAGTAGAAGTCCTGCTAGCACAACTAACAATATAAGAAATTCCGGTCTGTAAGTAGAAGTCCTGCTAGCACAACTAACAATATAAGACCTTCCGGTCTGTAAATAGAAGTCCTGCTAGCACAACTAACAATATAAGAAATTCTGGTCTGTAAGTAGAAGTCCTGCTAGCACAACTAACAATATGAGAACTTCCGGTCTGTAAGTAGAAGTCCTGCTAGCACAACTTACAATGTAAAAGCTTCCGGTCTGTAAGTAGAAATCCTGCTAGCACAACTAACCATATAAGAACTTCCGGTCTGTAAGTAGAAGTCCTGCTAGCACAACTTACAATATAAGAACTTCCGGTCTGTATGTAGAAGCACTTTACCAACTGCGACTAGCACTCCTATCTGATCACGAAAGCATCAATCATTTTATTTCTTACTGGAATGAATTGAAATATCGGTTCTAAAAGAAAACGAGGACGAAATAATAAAATAAATGAAACTGAACCTCTTTCTTGGTACCAATAATAACAAGATACACATAATGTAAGCTATTAACATATTTTAGACAGAACTCCGAGTACACTTAAGACAAATAAAATGTCGAGGGAAATTTTAAATTGCAACTCACTTCCTGTTAGAAGGCGAAAGGTGCGAATATATAAGTTCATGTATTTACTGTAACATGTATATAACAATCTATATATCATCACACTATCAGCAGAGGACCATGTAGGACAACCTCCCCTGTCGATAGTTACATGTCGTAGATACACCACTCATACAATTCAATGGGGCTTAACTTTATGATGTTTGCTTAATCCCTTGATGATACGAAACAAACCCCCTGTGTAGTATATGTCTGGGTATATATAAACACATGTAACAGTACTGTAGTGACTATCTGTACATAACGCCTAGTGTAGTTACTACCTGTACACAACGCTAGTGTAGTGACTCCCTGTACACAACGCTAGTGTAGTGACTGCCTGTACATAACGTCTAGTGTAGTTACTACCTGTACACAACGCTAGTGTAATGACTACCTGTACATAACGCTAGTGTATTTACTACCTATACACAACGCTAGTGTAATGACTACCTGTACATAACGCTAGTGTATTTACTACCTATACACAACGCTAGTGTAATGACTACCTGTACATAACGCTAGTGTGGTTACTACCTGTACACAACGCTAGTGTAGTGACTACCTGTACATAACGTCTAGTGTAGTTACTACCTGTACACAACGCTAGTGTAGTGACTACCTGTACACAACGCTAGTGTAGTGACTATCTGTACATAACGCTAGTGTAGTGACTATATGTACATAACGCCTAGTGTAGTGACTTCCTGTACATAACGCCTAGTGTAGTGACTACCTGTACATAACGTCTAGTGTAGTGGCTAGCTGTACATAACGCTAGTGTAGTGACTATATGTACATAACGCCAGTGTAGTGACTATCTGTACATAACGATAGTGTAGTGACTATATGTACATAACGCCTAGTTTAGTGACTACCTGTACACAACGCTAGTGTACTGACTACCTGTACATAACGCTAGTGTAGTTACTACCTGTACACAACGCCAGTGTAGTGACTACCTGTACATAACGCCAGTGTAGTGACTACATGTACATAACGCCAGTGTAGTGACTACATGTACACAACGCTAGTGTAGTGACTATATGTACATAACGCTAGTGTAGTGACTACCTGTACATAACGCCTAGTGTAGTGACTACCTGTACATAACGTCTAGTGTAGTGGCTAGCTGTACATAACGCTAGTGTAGTGACTACCTGTACATAACGCCTAGTGTAGTGACTATCTGTACACAACGCTAGTGTAGTGACTACTTGTACATAACGCCTAGTGTAGTGACTATCTGTACATAACGCTATTGTGGTGACTACCTGTACATAACGCTATTGTGGTGACTATTTGTACATAACGCTAGTGTAATGACTACCTGTACATAACGCTAGTGTAGTGACTACCTGTACATAACGTCTAGTGTAGTGGCTATCTGTACATAGCGCCTAGTGTAGTGACTATCTGTACACAACGCTAGTGTAGTGACTACTCGTACATAACGCCTAGTGTAGTGACTACCTGTACATATCGTCTAGTGTAGGGGCTATCTGTACATAGCGCCTAGTGTAGTGACTAACTGTACACAACGCTAGTGTAGTGACTATATGTACATAACGCCAGTGTAGTGACTATATGTACATAACGCCAGTGTAGTGACATTTCGTCCAAACACACGTGTGTCACTGGTAGTACCCATGTGTACATACCTCAATACTGTATCACATATGTAAAAGGCTATCCCCACTATATCTAACAATTTGATAACCCGCTGTACGTACTAGTGTATCACTTATATAACCTCCGTCTCTGGTGTATCGCTTTAATTATGTACAAAGCTGGTACTCAAATATACATACCCCTACTGATGTATCACTTATGTACAAAGCTGGTATCCCACTATACGTACCCCTACTGATGTATCACTTATGTACAAAGCTGGTATCCCACTATACGTACCCGTACTAGTGTATCACTTATGTACAAAGCTTGTACCCCACTACACGTACCCCTACTAGTGTATCACGTATGTAAAAAGTTGGTACCCAACTATACGTACCCCTGCTAGTGTATCACGTATGTAAAAAGTTGGTACCCAACTATACGTACCCCTACTAGTGTATCACTTATGTACAAAGCTGGTACCCCAATATACGTACCCCTACTGGTGTATCATGTATATACAAAGTTGGTACCCCACTATACGTACCCCTACTGGTGTATCACTATACGTACCCCTACTGGTGTATCACTTATGTAAAAAGTTGGTACCCCACTATACGTACCCCTACTAGTGTATCACTTATGTACAAAGCTGGTACCCCAATATATATACCCCTACTAGTGTATCACTTATGTACAAAGCTGGTACCCCAATATATATACCCCTACTAGTGTATCACTTATGTACAAAGCTGGTACCCCACTATACTTACCAACTGGTGTATCAACTATGTACAAAGCTGGTACCCAACTATACGTACCCCTACTAGTGTATCACTTATGTACAAAGCTGGTTCCCAACTATACGTACCTACTAGTGTATCACTTATGTAAAAAGCTGGTACCCTACTACACGTACCCCTACTGGTATATCACCTATGTACAAAGTTGATGCCCCAATATACATACCCCTACTGATATATCACTTATGTACAAAGCTGGTGCACCAATATACATAACCCCTACTTGTGGATCACTTATGTACAAAGCTGGTACCCCAATATACATACCCCTACTAGTGTATCACTTATGTACAAAACTGGTATCCCAATATACATACCCCTACTTGTGTATCACTTATGTACAAAGCTGGTACACCAATATACATAACCCCTACTTGTGGATCACTTATGTACAAAGCTGGTACACCAATATACATACCCCTACTTGTGTATCACTTATGTACAAAGCTGGTACACCAATATACATAACCCTACTGGTATATCACTTATGTACAAAACTGGTATCCCACAATACGTAACCCTACTGGTATATCACTTATGTACAAAGCTGGTACTCCACTTTACATACCCCTACTGGTGTATCACTATACGTACCCCTACTAGTGTATCACTTATGTACAAAACTGGTATCCCACAATACATACCCCTACTGGTGTATCACTATGCGTACCCCTACTAGTGTATCAATTATGCACCATTTACCTCCACTGGTTATCACTTTGTAACCAAATAATTATATGTAACTTAATAAGAGTTTCAACAATGTAACAATACCAGTAACCCTAAATATCTGACAGATACATTTACACAGTAATGTCTGTACATACAATAAATGTGGTGCCAGCCCGTCTGTATCTTAGCCTAAGAGATATCTTATAGATACAGCCATATTTAAGACTAAGATATATCTGATAGATACAGCCAGTACCTTAGCCTAAGATACAACTTATAGGTACAATCAGTATATTATCGTCTTGTACATATCTTAGTCAAAACCATTTTTGATAGATTCATGGTGTTATGTTTTGTTTTTTTGTTTTTTTGTTTTTATCTTAGACTAAGATTAATTACGGAAAACTGGTGCTTTCTTTATCTTAATCCAAGAAATATATCATAGAGGCATAATGCTCTCTAAAGTTATTTTTGATATATAAAAGTTATCTTTAAGTACACGGTGCTCAATTTATTTTACTCTTAGAGATATTTGAGGATGCATGGTGTCTGTATCTTAATATAAAAATATGTAGTTACATGGTGTATCTAAGTATAAGATATATCTTATCGATACCTGGTGCTGGAAATTCTGTAACCCGACAGATACATGGTGCTTTGTGTATCTTAGTATAAGATATATCTTATAGATACATTGTGCTGGCAATACTGTAACCTGACAGATACATGGTGCTTTGTGTATCTTAGTATAAGATATATCTTATAGATACCTGGTGCTGGCAATACTGTAACCCGACAGATACATGGTGCTTTGTGTATCTTAGTATAATATATATCTTATAGATACCTGGTGCTGGCAATACTGTAACCTGACAGATACATGGTGCTTTGTGTATCTTAGTATAAGATATATCTTATAGATACCTGGTGCTGGCAATACTGTAATCTGACAGATACATGGTGCTGTGTGTATCTTAGTATAAGATATATCGTATAGATACATGGTGCTGGCAATACTGCAACCTGACAGATACATGGTGCTGTGTGTATCTTAGTATAAGATATATCTTATAGATACATGGTGCTGTGTGTATTTTAGTCTTACTCTCAGTAGATGTCAAAAAAGATAATACATAGACTATGTCTTTTATGATACTTTTACATACATTCTTTAATTCCTTGAAATGTTCTCTAATTCATTGTTTGGCTCCACAGATTGTAAGTGACTAGCTATTCACCTGTTGTATTGCAGGCTGTAAGAACATGCACAGTGGTGTGGGTCTGTACGCGTGTGATCCAGAAGCCTATGAAGTCTTTAAAGAACTGTTTGATCCGCTAATAATGGACTATCACAAGATCACAAAGGTAGAGCATCCCACCCCAGACTTCGGAGACATGGACAAACTCGGGTTTGATGATCTGGATCCCGCCGGCGAATTTATCGTCTCCACACGTGTACGTGTTGGTAGAAGTCACGCGGGCTTCCCCTTCCCTCCAGGTGCAGACGAGCAGGTAAGGTGTTAATTTTCATACATAAATGAGTGTTTACAGTAAGATAAAAAAAACACTTTTCAAATAATGGTAAGGCAGTATCAAACTTGCCTTGTTTTATGAAATGAATACAAATGACCTTTTGTCTGCGGTAAACAGTATTATGGCCATAACTAGATAAACTCCAATATTTTATTGTCAAAACTTAATATTTACACTTGCCGAATCGATGTTCACAGAAACGTCGAGATATGGAGGATAAGACGATCAAGGCTCTGGAACATTTGGATGGCGATCTAAAGGGGGAGTACTTCTCACTGGAAAAGATGACAAAGGAGGATGAGAAACAGCTCATAGAGGACCACTTCCTCTTCAAGGATGACGACAAGTAAGATTCCTCTTTCTGCTTCTCACCTTGACTGAAAATTTCCGACTGAAAATTATATAATAATCTCTGGGAAAGTTTCCGAAAATAAGGATTGTTCATGACGGTAGACAGGTGCCTGACTCGATTACACTATCCGTTAAACAAATCTTGGACTTGAGCAAGAATGTCAGGAATGACACTAGGTATCTGGTGTTATGGCTGTGAAGGTCCTTAGCATAAACATTTGTTATATTGTATATTATGTTTGATACAGTATATATAATATTTATTGATAAAAGTATTAACAAGGGACCAAGAAACAAGTCTTAACTCTAAAATATGTTGCTCCCCCCCCCCCCCCCCCCGTTTTATCAGCCATTATTTCGTTAAGGCATAGGTCTTCATATCCTGTTCGATTCGTTCCCTTTTTCTCTATCTCCAATTCGCCCGCTGTGAATGATAACTCCTCCTGATAGTCGGTTCTTCCTACAGTTCTTGTTTCTCCTTTCCCCGGTCCTCCTCTCCTGCCCATCCTCTTAGTTGGTACCGACCTCTGCTTCCCTTATTTCTGATCATACTGTCGTTTCTCGTCCTCTTCTCCTCTGATTTTACCCTTTGTCCAGACACAGCCTCTTCCAGTTTCTGCTCTTCCTGTTGCTTCTCTTGTTCCGGATGTCGGTTCTCCCCCCGATGTTTACCATGCCTCGTTCCGGATGTCGGTTCTCCCCCTCCGATGTTGACCATGCCTCGTTCCGGATGTCGGTTCTCCCCCCGATGTTGACCATGCCTCGTTCCGGATGTCGGTTCTACCCCCGATGTTTACCATGCCTCGTTCCGGATGTCAGTTCTCCCCCTACGATGTTTACCATGCCTTGTTCAGGATGTCGGTTCTCCCCCCCGATGTTTACCATGCCCCTGGTGTTCTTTCTCTTGTTCCGGATGTCGGTTCTGCCCCCCCCCCCTCGATGTTTACCATGCCCCCAGTGTCCTTTCTCTTGTTCCGGACGTCGGTTCCTCCCCTCCCCCCCGATGTTTACCATGCCCCTTGTGTTCTTTCTCTTGTTCCGTATATCGGTTCCCCCCCCCCCCCTCCCCATGTTTATCATGCCCCGTTCCGGGTGTCGGTTCTCCCCCCCATGTTTATCATGCCCCTGGTGTTCTTTCTTTTGTTCCGGATGTCGGTTCTCCCCCCGATGTTTACCATGCCTCTGGTGTTCTTTCTCTTGTTCCGGATGTCGGTTCCCCCTCCCCCCCTCCCGATGTTTATCATGCCCCGTTCCGGATGTCGGTTCTCCCCCCGATGTTTATCATGCCCCTGGTGTTCTTTCTCTTGTTCCGGATGTCGGTTCTCCCCCCGATGTTTACCATGCCTCTGGTGATTTTTTCTGTCCCTACTGCTCCTAATGTTCATGTTGCGCCCTTACGTCCGTAGACGAATTGCTATATTTTAATGGGATAACGTAACTAACACCAGTGTCGTTTGCCACAGGGGACATTGATTTAATAAACGACACCTGACTCTATTGGTGCACATGAATATTTAATACCACTGCTATTAGGTAGTGTTCAAATAATAAGCTATGTATTCAACACTATTTATGTAATATTACCGTGGTTATCTTTCTATGTAATATTACCGTAGTTATTTAATATTATATTATAACCGTAGCTTTCTATGTAATATTATCGTAGTTATCTATGTAACATTAACATAGTTATTTATGTAACATTACCGTAGTTGTCTATGTAACATTATCGTAGTTATCCATTTATGTATTATTACTGTGGTTATCTGTGTAACATTACCGTAGTTATCTATGTAACATTACCATAGTTATCTATGTAGTATTATCGTAGTTATCCATTTATGTAATATAACCGTTGTTATTTATTGATGTAACATTACCGTAGTTATCTATGTAACATTACCGTAGTTATCTATGTAGCATTATCGTAGTTATCTATGTAACATTACCGTAGTTATCTATGCAACATTACCGTAGTTATCTATGAAATATTACCGTAGATATCTATGTAACATTACCGTAGTTTTCTATGTAACATTACCGTAGTTATATATGTAACATTACCGTAGTTATCAATGTACCATTACCGTAGTTATCTATGTAACATTACCGTATATATCTATGTAACATTACCGTTGTTATCTATGTACCATTACCGTAGTTATCTATGTAATATTACCGTGTTACCTTAGTGGACATTTTGACAGGTGTATGTGATGTTACCTTAGTGAACAGTTTGACAGGTGTATGTGATGTTACCTTAGTGGACAGTTTGACAGAAGTATGTGATGTTACCTTAGTGGACAGTTTGACAGGTGTATGTGATATTACCTTAGTGGACATTTTGACAGGTGTATGTGATATTACCTTAGTGGACATTTTGACAGGTGTATGTGATATTACCTTAGTGGACATTTTGACAGGTGTATGTGATGTTACCTTTGTGGACATTTTGACAGGGGTATGTGATGTTACCTTAGTGGACAGTTTGACACGTGTATGTGATGTTACCTTAGTGGACATTTTGACAGGTGTATATGATGTTACCTTAGTGGACAGTTTGACAGGTGTATGTGATATTACCTTAGTGGACATTTTGACAGGTGTATGTGATGTTACCTTAGTGGACATTATGACAAGTGTATGTGATGTTACCTTAGTGGACATTATGACAGGTCTATGTGATGTTACCTTAGTGGACATTATGACAAGTGTATGTGATGTTACCTTAGTGGACATTTTGACAGGTGTATGTGATGTTACCTTAGTGGACAGTTTGGCAGATGTATGTGATGTTACCATAGTGGACAGTTTGCCAGGGGTATGTGATGTTACCTTAGTGGACATTTTGACAAGTGTATGTGATGTTACCTTAGTGGACATTATGACAAGTGTATGTGATGTTACCTTAGTGGACAGTTTGACAGGGGTATGTGATGTTACCTTAGTGAACATTTTGACAGGTATATGTGATGTTACCTTAGTGGACAGTTTGACAGGGGTATGTGATGTTACCTTAGTGAACATTTTGACAGGTATATGTGATGTTACCTTAGTGGACAGTTTGGCAGGTGTATGTGATGTTACCATAGTGGACAGTTTGACAGGTGTATGTGATGTTACCTTAGTGGACAGTTTGACAGGTGTGTGTGATGTTACCTTAGTGGACATTTTGACACCAAATCATTAACATATGTAACAATATAGAAAGTTATAGACAACTATTTTCTTGGGGGCGGGGGACGGGGGAGGAGCATTATGTCCAGATTTCCCGATGATAACGACAAGTTTTTGCATCAGGTTTTTTCGTCTTTTATGAGTTGATGATAATGACGATGTTGTTTGACACACAGATGTCTGCGATCAGCATGTGGCTACAACGACTGGCCGATAGGCCGTGGTATCTACTTCAGTAAAGACAAGAAGTTCCTCACCTGGATTAACGAGGAGGACCATCTCCGCTTCATCTCCATGCAAAAAGGAGGGGACTTGGCTACCGTCTGGAAAAGGCTTGTAACGGTGAGAATCACACCTTATTAGAATATCATTGAACCTCCGTATTTGTTGAAAGATTTAATAGAGTGATTATATACGTTGCTGAGAGGGTTCTTTATATAATTTAATCGACTAAATTGGTCAGAGTCCACAAAATCTGCGCAAACTAATTGTAACTGAGAGACATTTTGATACTGTTATATAACCTTTCTGTTAATGATGAGACAGTGATCTACTTCAGAAAACACGCTCAAGAGTCAGAATTAAGACCTTAACTTTTATTAGGAAAGTTCTGTACCGCTGTATAGAGAAATAAAACTACGTACGATATCTATGTAATATACCGATATATATGTAATTTAACGATATTTATGTAATTTACCGATATCTATGTGATAAAATGATTTATTATATGCATGGAAATTTCTTACATTGATCGGATCCTATACACGTGACCAGTCCTCAAAAACTCATGTTTAAGTTCTTTATTAACGTTAAGTCTTGCGACTTATCAGTGTAAACACATTATAAACAGGATATTTACACATGTACAAAAAGCCACATTTGTCACAAGAGAATGAACAACACACTTTCCAAGATTACATAATTCTTTAATGTAGACTGGATATCCGGTGAATATCGTTTACTAAATATAGCCTATATGGAAATTCTCCGGAACATGTCGTAGCGCAAGCGCAGTTAGATCGGAAGGCGATCTGTCAGACGACATTAGAAGATGGCTGCAGGCGAACGTTTCTCCTCCGTTACATCAGAAAATTACCAAAACTATTCGAGGATAAAGATACTGTTAACATAAAAAGGCCATTGAACACGCAGTGCATGTCCTCCATGCTTATCTTAAGAAAAAGAACCTAGTCGGTGCCTTCGAAAGCTACAATGCTGAACTGTTTGGTGAATTAAAACCTGGCTAAATTTTACAACGAGGCTCGCGTACGAAAATCAGAACCTTGAGTTTTGTTTTGTTTTATTTTATTGTTGAAGCATATAATAAAACAGTTATGGGCTTTTTTCCTGGTAAATACGATATCTATGAACCTGAACAAGTGCTATTGACCTCGGTTTGCCTCGGTTAATAGCACTCTTTCAGGTTCATATCACATCATATTAACAACTGCATAATCTATGTAATGTACCGATATCTATAGGGGTCGTTATTTTTTAATGCCTCCGCTAGGAGTCGAACCCGGGACCTCTGGTTTTCTAGTCTTACGCTCTACCGAATGAGCTAAAGAGAAATTCTCCCTAGCCGAGTCGGTAGGAAGCGGCTAGTATTTTACCAGGGTGACATATATAATATACCGATATCTATACCGATATCTATATAATATACCGATATCTATGTAATATACCGATATCTATGTAATATAACGATAACCTACCACTATCGTTAAGGTTTATATTATATGCAGATAAAAGTAAAGGAGTCGGGTAGAAATCAGTTTGATCCACGCTTGTTCTACACAGACTGGTAATGTTCTATTGCTGTGTGCTGTGACAATCAATACCTAGTTCGATCTGAGCTCTTTAGAAATATCCACGGAAATGCTATTACGCTTCCCTACAATAAAATGTACGTATCCTGGTCTGAATAGGGGGGGAATTGTGACGAGAACTCTCGCTGTATTTCCCAGGACTCGTCTCGCCATTGTATCCTACCTAGGCCATTATTGATTTATAAACATATTATTTTTATACAGGCCGTTAAGACGTTGGAGAAGAACCTGAATTTCGCAAAGAGCAACAGACACGGCTACCTTACGTTCTGTCCTACAAATCTCGGTACTACATGCAGGGCTAGTGTCCACATCAAGGTACCTAAACTGGCTAAAGCCGCGCGTGAAACCGAGGGGTCAGGCAGCCGTCTGGATGAGGTGTGCGAAAAGTTCAACCTTCAGCCAAGAGGTAAGGGTTCCACTTCAGTAATATAGATGGAACGGAAGGTCTACAGAGGCCGATGCAATGATTACCAATGCGGACACTATAAGAAAAAAAACTCCATTCATAATCCCTGTAATAAAATAGAATGGATAGGTGTCGTTTATAAGGCCAGAACTACAGTGAAGTCCGATGTCTGACAAACCGGGATGGGATGGGGTTGGGGGTCAAATTCACGGTTTAAAATGGTTGCGGTGTAGCTGAGTAGTTGACGCAGGGGCGTTCGAATATTTCAAATTGTGGCTAAATCTTATTATCACAAATGAACCTAGTGTTATTTATGTAAACAGCTTGTAAAATATGTTCAGTATAATAGTATTAATCTTATGTAATCACCTATTCTTTGTAACATTATTTATCCATTAACAGAAGAATTATTTTAAAGATTTGAAATTAATATTTATGATCAGTATAGTATATACACTGTTACAATTTAAAGCACAAGATAAGAAATGATACAGAACACGAGTTTCACAATATACAACACAATATGCAACACAATATACAACACATTTTTTACAATACACTTTTTACAATACACAACACAATTTTTACAATACACAACACAACTTTTACAATACACTTTTTACAATATACAAGACATTTTTTACAATACACAACACAACTTTTACAATACACTTTTTACAATACACAACACAATTTTTACAATACACTTGTTACAATACACAACACAATTTTTACAATACACTTTTTACAATACACAACACAATTTTTACAATACACAACACCGGTTTTATCATATAAATTATGATGTTCTGATATTGAAACGTTTGACACACCCTAGGGAGTCCCTATTTATACAATACGAAACATTTTAAACACCCGAGGGAGTCTCTACTTATACAAAATGTATTTAAACTACTTAACATTAAAACTAAATATGGTCAATGGATGTTCTTTACAGTACTTACAATCGCTCCTAGCTGTCTGTTGAAAAGATTTTTAAACATCCAATGGACTAACTATATCCTTAAATTGTGTCCCAGCATATGAAATAATGTTTTCATTAAGTTGTGACCAAGCATGTGAAATGATTTTATCTAAAAGTTTTGACCAAGAATAGAAAATCATTTTATCTAAAAGTTTTGACCAAGAATACAAGATTAAGTCATCTAAATGTTGTGACCAATCATTTGCTATTGTTGTATGTAATATGTCCCAGTGAGATAGCTTTAAGTATAATTAACGTGTGTGGTTACAGGTATCCACGGGGAACACACGGAGAGTGTGGGAGGGGTGTACGACATCTCCAACAAGAGGCGTATGGGACTGACAGAGTTTGACGCCATCACAGAAATGAAGAACGGTATTGTGGAAATCATGAAGATAGAGAAAGAGCTAGAGTAACCATACTTACGCAAAACCAATGAACACCTATTTTGTATTTGCTATTTATGTTCCAACAAAACAACATTTCTGCTGACCGTTATGAAAAAGTGTATCCTGCGGTTGAAATCACCAGAAACCTTTTTGTGACGTCATCACTATAAAGACAACGGAGAGACCATCCTAAAAACAATATGTTGGGATGCGTCGATCCATTGACTTTGGGTGGAGAATATAATCAGCTATTCAGAAGTGCTCTTCGTGTATGATTGATGTAACGCTTTCTAAAATTTCCGAAAAGCCCGTTGTTTGTGTTCCATGCCAGGGGAGGCGGCGAGCTGAGTGAACGCATACACAATGGATTGTCAGGAAACCAGTGTGAGAGGAAACTGTAAATATGTTTTTCTAGTGTATATTATATTATGTGTGCGGTCAGTAGGCTGTTTCTACTGAAGGTAACAGTTCACGGGCCATGGTCAGATAAACCAAAAATAATTTTAATGGTATTACAACGAGTGCTACCGGAAAATACGAGTCCGCCGGCCGGGAACATATCTCAATGCGACGGGGAACAGCTGAATCGAGTCGTCTGGTAGCACTCGGTGGATTTTAAACTAAATTCTTTCTTTCATTGGTGCCAAATGTATAATTTCATCTTAGAAGTAGAGGTTTTCACAGTATTCCCAAAACTAACTTATTTCCTGTTAAAACAAAAGCAAATTGATGTGGTATGTTACAGTGTATAGGTGTGATAATGATTAGCACATATACTTATCATTTCAGAATATTTATAATAAGGGTACTGTAAAGTTTTGGAAAAGTGTCCATGTTGCTAAATACGAAGACTGTTAATGAGGAGCATGTATGGTAAACGCATGTAAACAGAAGATGAGGTTGGCACGTTCGTCGTATCACGCAATGTGTAAACTAATGGAAATTTGGTCGGATGGTTAAATCTATATTTTATTTACATTTTTTGTGTACATGTAAACGAAAATTTAAAACGCTGTTGTATTTGAATAAAGAGATCTGTATTTATATTATTATGTTGATGACTTGGCGCATTATCATTCGACGTTATCCATTGCTTCATTTCCTTGGGCATGTCTGTTTGTGTTACGGTCGGTACTGGTGTGTCTTAGAAAGCGTGTCAACACGTAATACACACACTACTGGTGTGTCTCCGCAAATCTATAAACACGAAGCGTGTCTTAGCAGGCGTGTAAACACGTAGTGTGTCTTAGAAAGCGTGCCATCACGTAATACATACACTACTGGTGTGTCTCCACACATATATAAACGCGGAGCGTGTCTTAGCAGGCGTGTACACACGTAGTGTGTCTTAGAAAGCGTGCCATCACGTAATCCATACCCTACTGGTGTGTCTCCACAAATATATAAACAAGGAGCGTGTCTTAGCAGGCGTGTACACACGTAGTGTGTCTAAGAAAGCGTGCCAACACGTAATACACACACTACTGGTGTGCCTCCACAAATATATAAACACGAAGCGTGTCTCAGCAGGCGTGTACACACGTAGTGTGTCTTAGAAAGCGTGCCATCACGTAATACATACGCTACTGGTGTGTCTCCACACATATATAAACACGGAGCGTGTCTTAGCAGGCGTGCACACACGTAGTGTGTCTAAGAAAGCGTGCCAACACGTAATACACACACTACTGGTGTGCCTCCACAAATATATAAACACGAAGCGTGTCTCAGCAGGCGTGTACACACGTAGTGTGTCTTAGAAAGCGTGCCAACACGTAATACACACACTACTGGTGTGCCTCCACAAATATATAAACACGAAGCGTGTCTTAGCAGGCGTGTACACACGTAGTGTGTCTAAGAAAGCGTGCCAACACGTAATACACACACTACTGGTGTGCCTCCACAAATATATAAACACGAAGCGTGTCTCAGCAGGCGTGTACACACGTAGTGTGTCTTAGAAAGCGTGCCATCACGTAATACATACGCTACTGGTGTGTCTCCACACATATATAAACACGGAGCGTGTCTTCGCAGGCGTTTACACACGTAGTGTGTCTTCGAAAGCGTGCCAACACATAATACACACACTACTGGTGTGTCTCCACAAATATATAATCACGGAGCGTGTCTTCGCAGGCGTGTACACAAGTAGAGTGTCTTAGAAAGCGTGCCATCACGTAATCCACACACTACTGGTGTGTCTCCGAAAATCTATAAACACGAAGCGTGTCTTAGCAGGCGTGTAAACACGTAGTGTGTCTTAGAAAGCGTGCCATCACGCAATACACACACTACTGGTGTGTCTCCACAAATAAATAAACACGGAGCGTGTCTTCGCAGGCGTGTAAACACGTAGTGTGTCTTAGAAAGCGTGCCATCACGTAATACATACACTACTGGTGTGTCTCCCCAAATATATAAACACGGAGCGGGTCTTCGCAGGCGTGTACACACGTAGTGTGTCTTAGTAAGCGTGCCAGCACGTAATACACACACTACTGGTGTGCCTCCACAAATATATAAACACGAAGCGTGTCTTAGCAGGCGTGTACACACGTAGTGTGTCTTAGAAAGCGTGCCATCACGCAATACACACACTACTGGTGTGTCTCCACAAATAAATAAACACGGAGCGTGTCTTCGCAGGCGTGTCTCATATAACACGTAATACACACACTACTGGTGTGTCTCCTCAAATATATAAGCACGGAGCGTTTCTTCGCAGGCGTGTACACACGTAGTGTGTCTTAGTAAGCGTGCCAGCACGTAATACACACACTACTGGTGTGCCTCCACAAATATATAAACACGAAGCGTGTCTCAGCAGGCGTGTACACACGTAGTGTGTCTTAGAAAGCGTGCCATCACGCAATACACACACTACTGGTGTGTCTCCACAAATAAATAAACACGGAGCGTGTCTTCGCAGGCGTGTAAACACGTAGTGTGTCTTAGAAAGCGTGCCATCACGCAATACACACACTACTGGTGTGTCTCCACAAATATATCAACACGGAGCGTGTCTTCGCAGGCGTGTCTCATATAACACGTAATACACACGCTACTGGTGTGTCTCCACAAATATGTTAACACGTATCAGGTGTAAGTAGGCGTGTACATTTACTGCCTTAAAACAGGATGTCTTTAAATAAAACCCAATAACAATAGTGGTAAATAAAATGAATAAATACATATATAAATCATAGATATAATTTCCTAGTTCTGCATTGTAGTGAAAATGTGTCCAAGGGTTGGGGAGCCCCTACCAGCGAGGTCTGCTAAATTCACACTATCTAGTAGCTAATTATAATTTAAACAGAAGATTAATACATATGCTACTGGTATATCTTCACTGTGAAATAAATCCTATACCTTGTAGAACGCCAGTAAGAGAAACTCAAACGGAAACTGTATTGAATGCACGGATGAACATTTTATTTCAATTTGAATAGAGCGAGATCCTTCTACGAGTATAGTTATCTATCAGCTGGGATGTACTTACCTTATTGTAAATGCTTTATTAGGTTATCGTGGAATCGGTGCCTGAGATTTGTTATAGATGGCACTGTCAGGGGTTTGTTTTAAATTAGCACCGTCATAATGAGATGGTATTGGTTGAGTCCGTGTGAAGGTTCCGGAAGACTGGGGTTGACTGACCTGTAACGCTGTTTTATTATAACAGCTGATCTTTTCTCCTTGTTGATAACGTAGCCAGGCACCAAGCTAAGCTCTGCATGCCATGATCAGTGAACAATGGAAAATGTACGTATGTTACGTTCTCTCGGTGACCTATTGACGGTGTGCTGCACGAATTGTCAGACCTGGTTCTCATTGACGACGATGACCCGTATGTAAAACAAGAAATACACCAGTATAGGTCTGTATTATGACAGGTATTTTATACACACACATTCTACTAACACGGTTCACAAGCGAGTAGTTTAGACTACGATAATTTTATTGGACTGGGCCGAACAATAAAATATGGTTAGACAACTTTATTCAAGGAGCAATGTCGATCTTGCATTTCGAAATTGTTTGGTCCTTTTAACAACCTATGTCATGTTATGACGCATCTTCGTGTGTATAATGAATGCGAGTACTTTTGCCGGCTTCAGATTACTACCTTATTGAAATACCTTCCTGTAAGCGCCAAGTATTCCACTCAGTAACACTATACTGACAACGAGTCACCCAGTCCCTACCGGTACTCGTTTAAATATGAACGTCAAGCAAATATCAGCAAGTTGCAATTTTAACTGAGGTGAGGCACAGATCTCACAACATTCCTCGCTTGGTCGAGCGCTCAAGGCCATAGGCGAAGTTTTGCCTAGAGAGACGTTAGGAAACAAGAAAGCAGTTTGAAACGAGAGAATATATTTCAAATGTAGAAATGGGTGCAGCAGATCAACTTAGGTCGCTCTTGTTTCCCAAACTGTAAAGGCACAAAAGTAAAACCCTTATTCTCTAGGGTGTTCCAATATACATTTGAAAACGGCAAGTATAGTTCTTTCTTAAATCCCGACCTATATGGGTGATATTTCAGAAAATTATATATTTTATTTACTATGAGATATATAAGAATTTTCATTCTACGAAAATTCCTATGCATTCTTAATTATATATCATAAACGATATGCTATATTTTATATACGATAATGTTATAACGTATAGCCCCTATTTATTGTTCCAAGAAACTGTCAATATATTTTGTCTCATACTTGTGGAAAATGTTCTTCTGACAGAAATTTGAAACGAATCAGGGAAATATATTGAAAAAAACCCACGTTAAAATAGATGTAAATAACGGGTGTGAAGCTACATGATGTACTTATCATATATAACGTCTTATTGGTTGTATCGGCTCATTAGTTAAAGAGACAATTGAAACAGTCGTCAGGACAATGTATTATTCACGGACAGACGAAACAAGTCGATTCAAGCATACCCACAAGTTTCGTTGCGTTAATAAAAATAAAAGATATCTTGTAGTGTAAATTAAACACTCCATGAATAA